ATTTTGAAATAGAAAAAAATTCGGCAACATTGCGAAATGATGGATGTGAAGAGGCGTGATTATTCAGAAAATGATTCTATTGGTTCGAGCCTGAACGACAACACAGTGGCGTGTGGTTATTGGCGAAACTAAAGAATTTTTTTTCTAATACTTTTATTGATTTATTTCCTTGGTGTTTTCGGTGCCACTGAACCCAAAGGTTGTCATCAGGTAGTGTCAGTTGAGGTGTCAGTGAATATTCTTAGGTTACGCCCCACTTTTGTTTCCCCTTTCGTCTCTCAAGTTACCACTTGCCAGATTATAATTAATTCCATGTGGTGCTTCTTTCTTTTACGTGTGGTAATTCCGAAAAATAAGGTGTTTCTGGAGAAGTTAAATTTTGTCTTCGCCTCTGAGGGATTTTGACTTTGATATTCTCAATTATTGAATTTATGGAACATTGAGTTGCCTTACGTTGCGTTTCGTCCTCGTAAAGTGCCATAAATTCGTCGATAATTGAATTTTCACAACCATCCAATCGGTAAGTTTTGTTTTGCATGTTTTTCCCACAGTGGATTCTGTCCTCTATTTAATCATTAGTGAAAAGCTGCCCTGAGGAGTAGAGTAAACACCACCCCACTCACTCCAGGATTTCGAATTCGGACCACGACCCAGACTAATCCACAGCATTTTCGTTACAAATAAAACCCATTTCAACAGGTGAGACATAACCTAATAAAGGCAGATTTTTTTTTTTGCAAACTGGAACCACATTTTCTTTCCTTTCAAATATATCTGATTCTGCTTTTTATACATAAATTGTTTAAATATTTTCCAAGAACAATAGTTTTACCTTTACAGGGGGGCTTTATTTGAAATTGATGCAACTTTGCGTTCACACATTGCGATTGAAAATTGGCACACGACTTATTTGAAATGCACTTCTTCAATCGCAAATGACCTCATTTGCGTGTACGCAAAGTTGCATCAATTTCAAATAAAGCCCCCCAGATCATTGGAACATTTGGATTGATAAAAATAATTCAAGGACAGATTCAGGTTGGAGAAGCAAGCTGTGAGATTTATCATAGATGAAATTGTGCATCTGTGATCTGTCCTGTGTGTAACAAAAATATGAAAATAAAAATCAGGAAAACACACAAAAATAATATAATTTTGATAGGTTATGGGTTATGTTGTGCCTATTTTCTTCCTTTTTTTTAATGTGGGCATTGCAACTAATAGTTCAGGTAAACCTGCAGTGGTACAACATTCGAAACTCTGAACCACGTTCAACAGTGAACTGCAGTGCAACAGAACTTGTGTTGAACTCTTATTCGTACAACCGGGCCCAGTTACATTGAAGTTACGTTCATTTTCTTGTGGTTCATTTCAAAGTGCCTAGCCTTCGCTAAGGTTAAATTACAAATACAGAGTGCTATACCAGTTTTTCTTTAGGGTTTTTACTTATGGCCACAAATTGAAGTATACGGCCAGCCCTTTTAAACTAAAGGCTATAGGTTTAAGTGTACTGCAACCTCCATCAAAGCCTACACAGTTGTTAGGCTACCTTTACCAAAACCACAATTGTTTTAAGAACATATTTTTCTCAAATTTTCTTTATATTGAACGAACTCTGGAGCACTTGAATTAATTGAGTTTTATTTGGTTTTATGCACTCAGCCCAATACAATTATTATTATCATAATTTTTATTTTAACAATTCGATCAAGTTGTGAGAACTTGGAGCCAGATAAAATCCTGGAGAGTCCGACTCATCTGTCCTGAGTCGGTGTCGCCCAAAACATAATCCACCCCTACTCTCCGAATCGTTTAATTCTGATCGAGGGCTTAATTTGCACGTACTTTGACCCTCAGTCCTGCAATCTTGGTTATTTATTTATTTTTTCACTTTAAATTGTTTAACACAGAAAAAGCGTGGCATCGTATGATATTTCTTGCCAGTAGAATACCGCAGTGAAAACTCACGAATGACTAAACTCGTGTAGACGACCTGGGTCCAGCGCTTTACCAGCCAAGAACTGACATGCCAGTGAGACTGGCGCCAGCTACTGGATACGTGTAAATTGGTCTTAAAGATAGTGAGGGAGATAATGGTAACGACAGCAACATTCACAAGCAATCCAGAAAGGTTTTAGAAAAATTGGACTTCAAGTGAAAGGAATCCCTTGATCTTTAAAATGTCACCATTGCTACGTCAAGGATCATTTGTTTGAGTTTCCTGTTTCAAAGAAACATAAAGACGGTAATAAGGCTCATGTTGCTCAAGACTTGACTGAAGATAATGAAAAAAATGCATTCATTACTTCAACAGTTTTGGAATCGTATTTAGATCTTCCAACCTTGCTGTTGAGTCATGGCAATGATAGAGATGTTACATTTTTTATAGAAAGTGGAGCCACCAACAATCTAGTAAATAAAAATGTTGCTGTTAGATGAGAAAAATGTGTGTGATTTTCAATAAATTTAGCAAAACAAGGTAAGTAATTAAAGCTCTCAAACAAAGAAATCTGCTTTTACTAATGATGTTTGGGTTTGTGATAAACTCACTCATCATTTGCCCAGCATCAGAAAATTAGAAGAAAATAGTTTTCACGTAGTTATCCAAGACAAGTGAAGAAACATTTTGAAAAATAACAAAATTGTTTTGCAAGGAAAATTGTTTATTAATTTATATGTTATAATTTGAAAATTACAAGAAAATGCACAGGCTAAAATCGAAGTTAACCTAATAGCACATGACAGTATGTTACAGCATAGGCGAATGGGTGAGTTGTGTAAATATCCTGCACCAGATGTCAGCTAAGTGTGTCTACAGGACAACCCTTTAAACTTTTCTCAAGGGAAAGAAAATCCAAAGTCAATTTATAGGTTGTATCGTTAGACGTGTTTGGACATATTGCACCAGAAACTTTTAACCGAGATGCGATACTATGTAACTTTCATCATTTTGCTATTTGTTAAGTAGGCACCTGATTTCTCAGAATAGAATTTTAGACAAACTCAAACAATATTTTGCTCATGTTAAAGTGAAATTTGGCACACAAAGTGAACGTTTGAGATGCAACAATAGTGGGGAATACGTCTCTACGGAGTTTTTGTTCAAAGAATATCATACAAATTCAGTATACCATCGCCTGCAATCCTGACCAATGCACAGTGGCGGAACCTACGATCGTACAGTGATGGAAAAAGTACGGTGTCTTATTTTCGATACAAAAATGGATTAACTGGATGTGGGACGAAACACTATGAACTGGGATCCTATTTTCGAATATTTTCGCATACGAAATTTGATACGAGTTCGAATGCTCCCCATTTAATTTACATTACTGTCAGTCAAATCTCGTGTACGAAATGTACTTGAATGGTTTCGAAAATCGTACCCATGGTGTTTATTTGATAAACCGAACCCTGACTTCAACATTAACCAACATTCAGTGTCCAGCTGGAATTTGGTTCAGAGGAAAGCCAAACCTAAATAAAATTAAACTTTTTGGCGCAATAGGTAGTCTGCAACCATATTTTCAACTGGTCTATAAATAAAACCACTCTGTGTATCAAAAACCCATCAAAACTGGAACACGATTAATCAACAATCAGCAGTTTAAGCACGTCAACGCGTAAACTAATGTTCACACGAAATGGATAAAAAAAACCGATGTAGCCCATGGTATCGGTATCCATTTGGATCTTTCTCTTTTCAGGGTTTCCTTACCCCAGGAAGTAGCAATAATCCCTTTTGGTTCGCATCTCTCTCCTCAGGGTCACCTTACCCAAGGGAGCAGTAGCTACACGTCTCCTCTGGGTCACCTTACCCCAGAGAGTCTTGGAGCACTCCCGTTTAGGGCATCGCCGCTATATACGTGCGGGAACCAGTTTCATCCCCCTGTAGGAACGTAGAACCCCGAACGTGAGAATCATGTAGCGCACCTACGTAGTGCCCCTTTGGTGATGTACCCACTAGCAGACAATATACGTTAAGCTCCTTTTTGTAGTTGTGTGTTTTCATGAAGAGCAACCTCTAATCTGAGGTCCTACCCACATTAACCGCGAGACGTGTGACAATATAACAAAAAGAAATTAGGGATTTTTTATCCAAGAGACCAAACGAAAGATTTTTTTAGAGGACAACATAAACACAAAGTTATGGTCTCACAATATTTTATTGGCTACACATGTTTCGCTCTAATCACGGCATCGTCAGACTTCAAAATACACAGACTACAGCTCACAATAAATTTCGAGTGTTTACTTTTATTGTTATCCTCGAAAATCTACAACCATATTCTAAAGGAACATCGTAAGTCGAAGCTTGATTTTCATGGGCCTGGATTCTCTGGTTATAGACGATAAATACAGGCTGTAGTATGAGCCGATAGAAAAATTGTTTCAGGCCGCAATGTGTTATTTGAGGAAGAAAAATGCAATACAGTAATGGTAAAGGTAGATGATGTTGGAAATGTAACAAGAAAGTTACAGGAAAAGCCCAAAAAATTAAGAGACCACAGAGAATAAACAAGTGACAGTACGTAATTGAAAACCATTATTGACTCACAATTACAATTATTATTAAAATGACACAGTATATTTTGATTTTTGAGGAATGTTGGATCGAGGGTTTCTCTGCCGTGCTCTTTCCCCTCGTGAGTTCCAGGTCGAGAACGGTACGATTTTCTTTACATAATAAATTAGACGTTTCACCAATTTTTCGTTTATTTTACATATCACAACTTCCCCTGAACTCCCCTAATTTTGCTACTGTCGGGCGCATGTCAAGTAAGTAAAATTGAGTAAGCTTCCACAACGTAGGTCCTATTTGTTTTTCATTTAGTTTTTTAGAAGATTTGTTAAAAGAGAAGATAATAAAAATTCACACTGGTTCAATCTTGCTGATCGAACCCAGGTATGTTATACTACAATATAGAAAATCACTAGGTAGAAGTGTTATTAGCAAATCACAAGATATCTGCTAAATTATATTGAAAAAAAATTCTTACCTTCTGTCGAAACCATCCTGGATCGTACTAAATCAGCCTTATTTGAAACTAGTATAACAGCCCTTGTACCTATTGTATCCAACGTCCACAGGTTCTGTAAAATTTTCTCTGCGCATTCAAAACTAGCTCTGTCTGCGCAGCTGTAGACAACAGCATAAGCATGTGGATCGGTGTACTTTTTGATCAGAGAATCGGGCTGCAAAAAAGTAAAATCGTTTAATATTTATTAGCTCTTTCAGCTGCAATATAGTCAATTAAGCCTTCCGACATTTTATACGTGACTTGAAAATATCGTGAGGTTTTATTAGCCGGATTGCGCTATATCTCACTTGGGTAGAAGATGGGACATGTCTCGCACAATGTTTGTCTTATAAATTTCACGGCGGGATAAAGAAAAATCATTATCTGGTGTCCCTTTAGACAATATAGAGGTTTAGCGGGCACGTACAAAATAATGACGTAAAGACGTCGAATTTCAGCTTATTATTTTCTAAAAAAAAAAGCTTAGCTATAAAGAACCAATTTTCTTCCTATTAAAATACCTCGCTTTGTCAAAGATCATGAAATCAGATTAATAATGCTCGATATTTTCTAAAGACCTTATTTTCTTGAACTACAAAAGCATCTCCAATGATGCTCAAACTAAATTTTATTTGGTTCAATAGGGTCGCTTTGAGAGGATAAAAATCATTAGCTAAAATGTCCTGGTTTTTATATCACAAAGACCAACGGCATTTGTCATTTATTTACTCGATATCGGGAGAATAATAGACAGGTAAAAAAAGCTACTCATTTAACGCTAATTACTGCCAATCGGATCGAATTTTTTTATCAGCAATTTTCCCGTTTTTTTACGCCTATATGCTCTATGGTTCCGCAGTATTATTTTACGTATCGCCGTTTATTGAGTTTTGGCGTTGCCAACATTTATGGTCAAATTTCAGCATCACATAGATCAATGAAATGTTAAAAGCCTTCAAATCAAATTGAATTCAACTGAAAATAAAATTTTTATGTGTAGTGTAAATTTCCTTTGAATACTAAAACTAGAATACATAATTCGACGTTCGCTACAAACACCATTTTCGTCTCTTATAATATCGTAAAAGATCCATTATCTCATTGTTCTGGCAAATATCCCAGCGGCTTCGACTAAAAAGCTAAATTCGGTTCGAATAAATGATTAGGTTATAGCGAAAGTCATATTGGAAACTTTATAATGATGGAAGCAATTTTATTTATGGCGTGTTTGACCTACTTTGGAAATGCCAAGATTATTAGGTCCTATTTTTCACAAGAAAACTATTTTGAACATCTGTTTCCAAATCGTTTTTCTATTTGTCTAATGATGCATCAATTTGAAATAGGTACGAAAGGGCAAAGTATAAAGTTTTCCCTTGCGGGACGTGGAATTCCCAATACAGAAGAAAATATTATTAGGTCTAAAGATCATCTTTAACTCAGATTAATACACATGTAAAAGTAATTTGAGACATCCCCTTAAATGGAACAAACGTACTGCTGGGAGCGAAATGGTCGCAGAGCAAATTACCGACGGACAAAAAGTGAAATGTCACGGGCAACGTAGAAAAATTGTGATAATATATTTTCTTGAGATACGAAACTAAAACAAAATCAACTAGGTACTGATTCACTGGTAGCTTAATAATGGTTTTCGTTTTCACTTTATTACCGATTTAAAAAATAGTTTTGAATATCAACTCTTTTTTTGAAGCTATTCTCAGAAAAGTTAGACACATCATTCTGCATTCAGGTTTCAGAATTTGCCTCAATTAGCAATGAAGAAGCTCTAGAAACTTTCCTTCAAGTGTTTTTAATAATTAATAGCTGTAAACGAAAGCACATCAACAACCAAAACTATTATCATAAGCCACTCCAGGCCCCAAAAAAGAATAATAAAGCGGCAACTTCGGAAACAGATTCAAAAATGAGACAGGTTCTATGAATTACTAAAACAAAACAATCTGCGTGCTGTCAAAAGTTTCTTAAGAGAAAGGCCCAATAGAAATTGGACCTGTAAGACAACGAAATAGATTAGCTTTTCTGTATATAATTTTTTAAACGTGGGTCAGTTATTAACAGATTCATCACCAGCAGGAGGCAAAGAGGCTAATAAATAACTGACATCAGAAACTACCATCTAATCGCATTATTGTCAATTTAAAAACCCACCCCTAATATCTCAGATACGGAAAGTTTAAGAAATTATCCCCGAATCATTTCACTGCATGAGTTTCCTCCAGTGTATTTCTTTCATCAGTATTGAATAGATCGGTGGTGTATTCTGTTCGAATGTACTCAGCAGCGCCCTACGATATGAAAGTTATTCAAATTCCTTACAGTCTCTCGATTCCTCCTCTTCTATCGCTCTATTATTTATATTTTTATGAATATTATCTATCCATGTTAGCGCCGGTCTTTCTCTCTTCCTTCTGTCCATGGAACGTACATCAATGCTCTCTTTGGCAATCCCTCTTCCTCCATTCTCATAACATGCCCATACCATATGAGCTGTCCGGTGTCTATTCTTCCAGTGGTTCTATATATTTTTCTTGTTCTTCTCCGAATTTCAGTGTTCTGTATACGCCCCAGTCTTAAAACTCTACATGTCTGTCTGAAAAAGTCTGTTTCCACTGCATCTATCTTTCCTTTTATTTCATGTCCTGTTAGCTGCCAGCATGCAGCTCCGTACGTGAATATCGGCTCTTTAACCCGTAGATTTTGTTTTGGGGGTTTATTTAATTCTGACCACTCCAGAGTAAAGAATTCAGAATGTTATCGCATTTTTTACCTTTTGTTACTCTGTTATTTATATCTCGCTCTGATGTTCCCTCTTTTGATATCAAGCTCCCCAAGTATTTATACTCCTCAAACTCTTTCAGATCTCTTAAGCTAAGATCCGGTTATTCATTATCATCTCCAATACAAAGATATTTTGTCCTGCTTTAGTTTATTTCCATTCCTCACTTTTCATATTCGTTGAGTTTTCTGTATATGGTAATCCAGGTCCTCTTTATAGCTACATGATCCGCTGCAAAGATTAGCGTAGGGACAAGTAATGTACTCCTACTTCCACTCCCATACCAGAGCACTTATTTCTTCAGTCCTGAATGTATATCTTGAACAGTATGTTACGATAAATTTATCATTTACGTAACATGTTCCATCTCTTCTCATTTTCATTATAAAGTTGTATTTTTGTTATTTCAGAATCAGCAAAATAATAATCCATAAGAATCTAAAAATATCCACAAAATTCAAAATAATACCAGTGCTGCCATCATGAGCGTAAAATGCAGATATCTTTTATTCATTTACCAGTGCTGCCATCTAGCACCGGATGAGTTTTTTTTTTTAAATTGTGATAGTTTTTCTTGGCTATTTTTATTTGACAGTCATTTGTATTTTCAATCAAAGAAATTATATTTATCTCACTTTTAGCAAATTGATATATTTCAGTCTTTCTCTAACTTCTGATTCTGAAATAATCATTTTTGGCTCAATGGCCTACCTAATTAATTAGCAGTTATTTATTTTTGACATAACCTTAATTTAAATTATTATAATTTGTAAACAATTAAAATAATTCTAGTGGATTTTTATCTAAAGTGTGTTTTTTTTTTTAAGATAAAAGTCAAAATGACATTATGTTGGCAATACAATGTAAAACTGTCAATGCTTTCAAATTTTTTCATGTAGAAAAGGCTTGTGTTGCCAACATAGTTACTAAATTTTTGACTTGGGGAATTATCTTAAAAAAAAAAAAAAAACTTTATTCTCTTTCATTCCACGTGGTTTTTCATTGCGATTTCATTGTAAAGTGAATATGATCTTTTGAGTGTACTCGTCTGGTTGGTTGAATTCGTTATAATGCAGTTAAGTGTAAAAAACACAGGATCGTTATCCTGTGGGGTTTGGTTTTTAAAACGTTCTCTTTCCTCGACAGTGGTCTAGCAGGCAAGTCATTTTTATCTTTAATAATTTTTGCTTTACATATTTAGATTTTTCAATATGTTTTGCTATCAATGCATATTATCATATCATTATCAAATTTTTACCTGATAAATATCATCTTATCTATTCATAAAATATAAATATTATATTTTAATTTTTTATCTAATTGTGGGCTTCCATTTTGTGCGATTGGTAGTGCCACGTTCATCTGAGGTAAGTCAGTTCGGATTTTTGGACTAATAAATAGGTACTGCTGCTCTGGTTTTCAGAATCAATTGTTAGTGTGGGAATATTGGACCATTTGATCTAAACAGAGTCGGTGAAAACCAAATTTGTGTGTCCATCCCTTTCAACTCTTTATTGAATCCAGGCAGAGGCCTGTATAGCCATTTTTTGTTTGACTCCGTCAATTATTATCTTGAATAAAGGGTTTAATTTTTTTTAATAGAAATCCAGACAGGTCAAAAATTCAGTTAAAAAGTTTTAATTAGAACATCTCAAGAATTTTGACATATTCTGGATTTGATTAATTTCAACCCCAGGTTTATCTTGTAGTATCTAAAGTAGTTACCTTAATTTAAAAGGAAAATTTTGTCTATTTGGGGGAGAATCTAAGGATTCAATTTCTTATTGTTTTATCGTATTTTGTTCATATTTTTGCCTGCTAGTGTTACTGGCAGAAAAGCAGCATTTTGCTCAATCATAACGAGCATTTTAATTTAATCTAGCTGTTATTATTTTAATGTTACTATTATCTTTTTTTTTTATATTAAAATATATTTTTTTCGAATTTGCAATAGCTGTTCGTACCTGATTCTGTTGGAGGGTGTCTGTACAACAATAGTTTTATATTAAATTTCAATTTCAATTTCCTTTGCAAGACACTCACTTTTTGACAGAATTCAGGGATTTAATATTCCAAATATTGGTGAACCTGATACTGCCTTATTCTTTTCTGCGTACTAACTCTACATAAAGATCACTGTTTGGAGTCTGGATCAGCTGGAGTGACGTCACCCCAGCAATCTATCCTCTTTCCTGGATACAGGAAACAACACGAAGAGCTCCAGTTCACGAAAGTGAAGCCCCAACACACATTGAAGAGCTCCGGATTGGAAAGGTACATGATATCAGATTTACCGAAAAAACCAAGCTGTCAACACTAAAATTTTACAGAAAGTAACATTGACTGTTTTACTATATGTTACTACCGGGTGTCCCACCGAAAACTGACAATGGCCTATATCTTGAAAACGGTAATCGATATGAAAAAAATGAAAAACCCTTTTGGAGGGTTGGAAGGGGGAACCAAAACAAGGTACTTCTCAGGTCTCCCTGAATCATCCCTCCGGCCGTAGCTACCATAACCTCAAAATCTTAAATGGCATTATGGGTAATGTGATACCTTATTTGAAAAGTTTTTTAATTCTCTAAACGAATCTGCGAAAAAAAATGATCTAGATACAAATTCAAATTGTCACAAAATAGCCCATGCTTCGAGTTAACAACTTTGGCCTCTTGAGGAGGTGAACACTGTCAGGTACAGTGAGGAGAAAGGAGTTCAAAAAAATAAAATCTCGATGATTTCTTCAAAAATATTCATGCTGTTATCCAATTTGTATAAAATCGATTTTAAATCACATTTACCTGTTCCATCCGATCAAATGAGGTTTTCATCAAAATGAGAGTCACATTTAAATCTGGACAATTTTTTTTTGCAGATCCATTTAGTGAATTGAAAGATCTGCATAACAAGGTATTACATGACCCATAGTGCCATTTATGATTTTGAGGTTAGGGTAGCTACGGCCGGAGAGGTGATTCAGGGAGACCTGAAATGTACCTTGTTTTGGTTTCCCCTTCCGACTCTCCAAACGGGCTTTTCAGTTTTTTTTTTTTATTGATTACCGTTTTTAAGATATAGGCCATTGACAGTTTTTGGTGAGCCACCCGGTACATAACATTGTAAATCAAATAAAATTATTGTTTGTTGAATTTTGAGTGGTTTCATTTGCACATAAAGGAACTACACGTTAGGTTAACAAATTCCAGTTAATTTGTAACAAGTGTAGGTGGTGAACAGCAACCTTGCTAAAGTCCTTTTGTTATTTTAAAACTTTCTGGGTCTTGATTTCCTACTTTACTCTGCTAATGGCTCTTGGGTATTTTTTACTGAGGTTAGTCTTTGTCAAAACTTCGATAAGTTTTCTGTATCGAAGACCTTCTCGAGGTCTACAAATATTAGGTGAGTGGACAGACTTTCCTTTTTTTCTATGATTTGTTGTAATGTGAAAGTGCTATCTATGCATGAACGTCCCGCACGAAAGCCATTCTACTTTTCCACGTCTGAGAATTCCATTTCAATTCCCCTTTTTAAAATACGACCGTATAACCTTGCTAAAAAACTAGTCACACTAATTCCTCGATAGTTTTTCGATCTCTTTTTTTGTGGATGGAACTGCAGGTATAGTGTGATTTTTAACAGATCATTGTATATATCTGTTAGAATTTCTATTACGACCTCTGACGCACATTTGGCTAGCTCCATAAGAATGTTTCATGGTCCCGGAGTCTTGCCATTTTTCATATCTTATACATTTGTTCTAACCTCTTTCGCCATTATGACTTCCACATGATTTACTCCATCTTCCCCCCTCCACAATCTGTCCCTTGAATTGCTCTCTTTCCTCTTCCCTCTAAATAATTTCTTGACTAAAACCTTTAAGCCACAATACCTCTTGTACTGCTGACGACATGGTCATGAGACTGCCACTTGCTTTTTAGTATTCCAGGAAATAGGGGAAATGTTTTTAAAAAATATATAACCAGTAGTTAACTAAGCGCCTGTCATTTGTATCATTGACCCAGTCTACATCTCAATTTTCAAAACATTAGAAGTTTCAATTTTCTTACCCTTAAATCCAAGCCTATATTCAATCGTAGGTACCCTTCTAATATCGGAAAAAACTTTTTCTACTGACGTTTCATAATAGCAACTTTTCGATTGTCATTTCAGTTTTGAAACGACATTCTTTTAGGCACTGAGTGCGTGAAAGTTACTTTTAGGCACTCAGTGCGTAAAAGTGACTTTTGAATGCGTAAAAGTGACTTATGAGTGCGTAAAAGTAATTTTTAAGCACTAGTGCCTAAAAGTGTCATTCATTATTCAGAAATAAAAAACAACACTAACCACATATTTGAATTTTGTTTTGTATTTATTATGAATATTGAAAATGGAATTACTGAATTGAACGTTTGGGTTACTCAAAACAGAACTTTGTGTTATTACCTACTTTCTAGGATTTTAATTATTGATGCCGAATTTTGAAAAGAAAATCGCATGAAAAGTGTCAGGTGTCAAGTGAAAGCAGGTGACAAAGATTTTGGGTGTAATCGACTTATTCACATGAAATAAAATTGTGTTTTTTTATTATAAAATGCCAGTAGAAAAAATCTTGTATACAATACGTTACGAAACGATGTCTTTTAGTCACTCGACGTGTTGTCCAACTCGGCTTTGCCTCGTTGGACAATTTTCACGTCGCGTGCCTAAAAGACGCTCATTTCGTAACTTATTGTATAAATAGCTATTTTTGTAAAAACGTTATGAAATTGACATATTTTGATATTCATTAGAATTTTGAAATGACACTCTTTTAGGCACTAGTGATACATTGAAATCAATGGAAATATTTATTAATTATAAATTTCAAAGGTACAATTATGTAAATTGGTAAAGTGGATACTAGAGACATCCAACTTCTCTTCTCTAACAGCAATGCAAAGTACTAGTAGGAATGAATAAACTGCTAGTATTGGCAATGCTAACTTCTACTTCTGAGTGAACTTCTTCTAATTGCTTTATTCGGCGTATCTTTCTGCCCTATGATTCTTTTTGCTATTTCGTTTTTCTGTTCATTTGAATTTTCGATATACCTCGCGGCAACTGAGCTTGATCGCCATCCTCCATCATGGTGCGGAGCATCGAATATTTGCTTCACAAAGTTGACTTCAAGATATAGGCTAGTAATATGTACCTTTTCTGTAAAATTCTCAGAATTTTTTTCTTTGGCCCAGGTTTCAAAGTTGTTGTAGGTCTTTTCATATAAATCTTTCGATTTTTCAGGCACTAAAATCTTGTCTGTGTGTCACTTTCAGGCACCTAAATCTTGTCTGTGTGTCTTTTAGTCACTCGACGAGTTGTCCAACTCTTCTTCGTCTCGTTGGACAATTTCCACGTCGCGTGCCTGAAAGACGCTCATTTCGTAACTTACCTATTGTATAAATAGCTATTCCCTGCACTGAAGAAAATGTTCCACCTCTCTAAGCCCTGGAAGCGTGTTCCAGCAGAAGGCTTGTTGAGCCTTATCCAATTCTGGAATTTTCCTATTATATGGTTTTTCGTACTGCCAAAGAAAGGTTCTGGTCCAAAGAATGGTGTTTCAGCTCAGTGGACGCTTTTCATTCCCCTCGACTCCTTGGGGCTCTGGTACTAATGACAGGGTGAGCCGAGTCTATTGCGAGACGCTAGTTGATTTAGGAGTTGTTGGCAGTCCCATTTTGTGAAGTTGATACGTATTCCATTTAAGGTTGGGGCTTTTAGATTCAGCCTCCTTTTCCTTGTAAAAGGTACAATTATGGATTTGTTGGGTTTGACGCTTCAACTCTCCTGTAGACATCATCTAATAATGACATTTAGGGCATTTTGCATGAGGTCACTAATAATCCTGTTATGTTTACCCCTAATGATGACTATGATTTCGTCAGCATATCCTAGGACCGTGATCCTGATAGCGCTTAACGCGATGAGAAGTACATCTACTACCAGTGACTATAGCAGTGTGGACACTGCCCCCCCTCTATATTTGGACGAGAATGGAGAGTGATTTGGAAGACGTGTTACGTATCGTCACGTTTTGGCAAATTTCGTTACACGAGAGAGAAAGATATAACGTAGAGAGACGAAGAAAGACATCCAATGACAATGACAGACGACGAACGAATGACAAAAACCAAGGATTATATGCAAAGAGGATTGTTTATTATTTCAAGCGCCGATACCCTTGTAACGTCACTACAGATGCGCGTCTCCCTTTTGTGTGGCCTTTCGTCTGCTGTCTAAAAGCTATACAAGGGGGGATAATTTTTGAAGTGAAACTTCTTGGGCGGCGGTCTGATATTTGGACGAGAATGGAGAGTGATTTAGAAGACGCGTTACGTTTAGGCCCATTTCGTTACACGAGGGAGAGAACAAATATAATGTAAGGAGAAGGAGATATGCAAAACACAGGCCTCCGTTGCAAGACAGAGTAGAGAGATATAACGTAGAGAGCAGAAAAAGTACAGCTATAGCTTGTATATATCTAATACCCAGTTTCGGCTCTCCGCGTCTCACTTCTGTGCAGTCCTTGGTCTTTAACCCCAACCCGTACGCTAAGTCCAAAGTCTCAGTTCCTTTAAGGGGAATAGTTTAGGAAGTATTGTACAAGCAAGAGAGGGCCATATAGCTATTCATTAGGCAATGGAATAGAATAGAGAGTGTGACGTGCATATGCGCAGTACAACTCTGAGAGAGCGACGTATACACTCAATACGAAGCGATAGAAATTCCACTTCTACCATCACGTGTATGGCGCTGCATATGATTTTGTTTTTAAATCGGCTTCTGCAGTGATTGGGGTTTCTGGGCCTATAACCTGTTGTTAATCAAGCCCCAAAATTATAGGTAATGCCAATAAAGTATCTAAATAGCACTAAAGTATCTTATTGAACTGAATAAGTTTCTACAATTTGGGACAACCAATTTACATATTTTTCAATGTAAACTATCCAGAGATAACAACTATGTATCTCTTGAGATCCGGTACCTGCACATTACAATACAAACCAATAAGGGTACCTCTTATAAAATAATTTCAAAATTAATAATATTCAATTTTCTATTCATTCGAAGCTTATTTGGTGTTTATATATTATGATAGCTCATTAAATTTTTCAATGCTTAGAGATCATCCTCAAATAAAAGCATTGTGGACAGATTTTCAAAAATGAAACATTCAATTTAAGGGATCAATATTCTTAAAAAAACCAAACTTAGCCTTCAATTGCCAACATTTCAGTAATGTATCCCACGCTTTCCGACTGTTGAAATTACTATTTAACATTTTGAAAATAAACATCTAAAAGTTCTTACCGACAAATCCATCGTAGCAAAATCAATGAAAGTCAATTCCGACTCATCGCCTGCTAATAAAACCGAGACTGACTTTTCGCCGCTCTCGTCATCTGAAAAAAAAAAAAAAAAGAAAATTGACTTTAGTTTTTGCTGATCCGGGAAAAATTATTTGAGGGCCACCTGGAATGTTATTTCGGAGATTGTGGTAAAGCCGAACCGTTCCTACTTTTTGGGATAACTTATTATTTTTCTTTCGGCTTGATCCTTTAAGTTTAGAACTAGGGAACGGAAATGGTTTATGTAAAAGGTCAAATATTTCGATATGGGGCCTTAATAATTTCTAGAGAGATTTAGTAAGTTTTACAGATATCCAAAATATATTTTTACTAAAAGTTTTCTTTATTCAACAACCCAAATGCAAAATTCTATTTACCTTCAAAATAAGACGATCGTATTATAATTGAAATTATCTGAAGCGTAACATTTACGTATTACATTCAACGAATATAAATCCTACTACTATGTAAATCAATGCAGATTCAGTCTTTCGAATCCTGGAACAGTTCCCGAAAGCCCAATAAATTGAAAATCCTGGCTTGAATTTCTTCTTCTGAAAGTCTATTTTGCTAGTATTTCCAAGGGGCGATAAGGTTTCTATGAACTTGAAATTACTTGCCAAAGAATATATTGGTTAGTTATAAATTTGTTTTCATGATAGAAACCAAGGGTTGATATAATAATATCTTCATTAATTTAATGAAGTTATACAGCCAAAGTCCATTAAAAAAATAACTTCTTCAAAAAACGGCGCCTTAGAGAGCGTAGTAAATTTAATGAGTAATAAAGCTAAAATACATTTTAAAATTTTAATGATCTTCATTTTTTATTGATTGTAGGCGGATATTCGAGAAGTAATTAAAACTTATATTAAGTTTAACTCAGCGAAACTTTTATCTTTGTAGGTTGCATAACATTTCAGCAAACGTGTCAAAGAGATTTATTACTTTCGGAACCGACGTTTTCAAAGCCCAGCTGCAACATCCATTATCTGAATTGCACTTTTAAAGTGTAATGCGGTAAAAATCGATTTTTTTGGTGTGAACTCTTTTTGATGTAAACTCTTTTTTTTTGTATAATGCTACAATATTAGGTCTGTTTCAACTCGTCAAAAGAACCGTCCCATAAATGGTTTCGAAACCACTCTGTATAGGAATTTCGGGGTGGAAACAAAGCTTATGTGAGGCGATAACGCGTTATTTTTTTTTTTAAATTAAACAGTTTTCCTCGAATCCAATTTTTTTTTTTATGAATTGGTTGCCCCTTGAAGCTGAAATTTAAAATGGAAAAAAAAAATCGGTTCCCCAATCCCTCTTGGATTTTCGATAAAGTGGCAAATATGTAAATGTCACTACAACGCCTTTAAATCCACATTGAATGTAATGCGCTTAACAAACTGAAAGAAAAAAGCGAATCCGGAAAAATTCGGTTGAGCTTTGGGGGTGTTCTGACAAGCAGTAAGAAAAATTATTTAATTTTCTTTGAACGATTTTTTTCAATTATTCATTCTAAAGAACTGGATAGCTCTGAGAAAGTCGGATTTATATTTTATTTAGCCCTGGAAAATCAAATATACATCACAGTTTAGGATAATATTAGGCACTATTATCAAAGTTCGACAGCAATTATTACTCTGAATTAATTATTGGTTCTTTATTTAGCGAAAACATCTAAATTACAAAGTTTACAGAACATGCATAATATAGATACATACACTAAACTAAAGGTAAAAAAAAAACACATTCTACTTGCTCACTCATAAAAAAGCCAAGAAGTGGATGAGTGAAGATGCAGTATTTCAAGTTCCACCTAGTTAACTCCAGTAGAAGCACTTTTTTTCCGCAAACCCAAAATGCTTAATTATTTTGATACTTTGTTGATATTAATGGTAGTATTTTGACTTCGTTCAGAACAAGAAACAACACCTCCATATTTCTAATAGGTACCTATATCAAGTCCATTAAAAATACAGAATATTGCCGAAAATGTAATTATTACAATCCTCGCGTTCTCCTTCCGACCCAAACCTTGTTTTGTTTAGTCGAAGTTAAATTGACTTCAGATAAACTTGATGCATAAACAATAATTTAAAATCAGGAAATTGGTTCATCTCTTTGGCAAAGGATTTGCTTTTACCATGGAGAAAATAAATCTTGTGGTGAAAAGTTTAATTAACAATGCTTTTATCTTTTTCACCGGTTATAGCTAGCCAGTGCGCTCCAATTTAGATGCAAATTAATGAATGGAGTGGAGAAGGGCAATGAGGGCAGAAGGAAAAAGGAACACGAGGTGGAGGAAGAGAAGCGGTGATTCAATGACGGTATTAGTTCTGAGAAGGTGATATTGACGATTATAATTTTAATACTATTTTATTTTATTTTTTTATATTGGTCTTCTCACAAAAAAAAATGCTTATTCTACCGAGGTGGTAACATTAGCGGAAGAAATTGAGTGACTATTAACTCTCCGTTTGAACACGTTAAGGTTAAATCGTTCAGGAGATGAAGTAGGAGGCAATGAGTTCCAGAGGTGGAAAATAACCATCAAAAAGAAGCTTTATATGTATATTTATAAGTCCTTGGGGTAGCCTACTTTACCACATACGGATGGGATGCCTGTGAGCTTCTTAGATAACTAACTGATCCTAGGTGGAATGAGGCTGAACCAGATCATCAGAACATCTCCCATGGTAAAAACAAAGCGACAAAATAACGACAAGTCTGCCACATTGCTTCTATGTTCGAGATATTGCAATGAATCTGTGAGATTTGGATTATCGATCGATTATCACAGTTGACACATCATTTATATGAGGAGTGATCTCCGAGTATCCGTCAGAACAACTGGTCTTTTTTAAGATAAGTTGGGAAAAAAAATCGTTCAAATCTTAGTGTGCCAAGCACTCTGCAAGTTATTTCATAGTGTAAATGTGAAAAGTGATAGTGCTTTCTAACCAGCAAGTCCCAAGATGGACAACCTCACCCTTGACGACTGGCAATCCAAGATTGCTAGACAAATCAACGGGCTACAGGAAGAAAACTAGTCTTTGAAAAAGGACATGGCAACAATCCAGACCGACAACGGCAACCTTCAGCAAGAGCTCGAAAAAGTAAAGAGCGAAAACCGCCGACAGCGCGCACAAAACGCATGACAACGTAAAGACAGCGGAAATCCTCCGTCTTTCCAAACAAGTCGACCAACAAACAATAGAAGTTGTCAATAATTCCGACGAAGATGACTACACTATAGTGCTAATGATACTGAAACCGTCCCTACCAAACAGTCACGCCGCCGCAAAAACTCAGGAAGCAGTGACGAAAGCCAGCAGCCAACCAAAAAAGCCCGTATCAACCCCTACAGTTATTGTGAAAAATCGAAGCCCAGGTGAACCAGAATCCAAGCTCAAGCGTCAGTGTGCCAACAAACAAGGTAAATAAAAGTGCAATTACTACCATTGCCAACCCCACCAGGCAAGGCTTCCAAACAAAACCCCTTGCGCCCGCTCCAGCTCCAGCCCCTAAACCACAGGGTTGTGAAACAATCCCGCCAGTTGTAATTCGCAACAAGGCGAAATACCACGAAATTACGACCCACAGTCAAATGTCCAATTTGGACAGTCAACCAATATGGGTGAAGGCATGAAAATGCACCGCTCGAGATCAGAAGATTGCAGAAAGATTCAAGACTTTCTTGACAAAAACCAAGAACCACCCCTCCTTGTACCAGGGCTGCCCAAAGCACCCTAAACACCAGAAGAAACCAGTCTTTAAGCCAGCACCAACATCCAACTTCAAATGGAGCCAGCAGCCGGAAATACTACTAATATCGTATGGCAACCCGGAGGAGAGAAGAAACCACATTCGCCAAATAACCAACTAGCTAAAATTTCAAAACTTCCTTGAAAGTGAAGACGACATAGCCAATATACAGAGTACTCAGGACCTAGAGGAGGCCGTGAACATCCTGTCCTCCAACATATCACTAGCCTTAGCAGCAGCAAAGACCAACATACAAGTTCCCAACAAAAACAGCTAATCTTCAGAACTGCAGGCTGTAATCAGGACCAGAAATAGGCTAAAAAAACCGACGTTACGCACCAACGACCCTTTCTTCAAACACCAACTGAACACAACGAACCAGCACAATAAAAGACAGGTCAAAGAAGTAATAAGCAATCAGTGGCAGGAAAAAATAGAGTTGATTCACAAAATAGGAAAGGATCTATTCAAACTGGCGAAAAACCTTACTAAGGGCCCGAGGCAAAACATGCCTTGCATAAAATCTTCGGACAACGCCTAGATTGTTACGATAAATTTATCATTTATGTAACATCTTCAATCTCTTCTCATTTTCATTATAAGGTTGTATTTTTGCCATTTCAGAATCAGCAACATAATAATTCATAATGATCTAAAAATATCCACAAAGTTCAAAATAATACCAGTGCTGCCATCTATCCATCATGAGCGTAAAATGCAAATATCCATTATTCATTTACCAGTGCTGCCATCTAGTACCTGATGGATTTATTTTTCAAAGTATGATTTTTATGATTTCTCATTTGACAGTGGATATATTTCTGTCTTTCTCTAACTTCTGATTCTGAAATAATCATTTTTTGGCCTAATGACCTAATTAATTAGCAGTTTTTTGTTTTTGACATAACCTTAATTTAAATTATTATAATTTGTAAACAATTAAAATAATTCTAGTGAATTTTTATCTATTCTTTTTTATTCCACGTGGTTTTTCATTGTGAAGTCATTGTAAAGTGAATATGGTCTATTGGGTGTAATCTTCTAATTGGTTGAACTGGCTAAAACGCAGTTAAGTATAAAAAACACAGGATTCTTGTCCTGTGGGGTTTGGTTTCTAAAACGTTCTCTTTTCTTGGCAGTAATCTAGCAGGCGAGTCATTTTTATTTTTAATAATTTTTGCTTTATATTTTTAGATTCTCCCTTATAGATTTTTCAATAAATTTCACTATCAGTGCATATTATCATATCATTGTTAAGTTTTTACATGATAAATCTTATCTTATCTATTCTTGAA